CCCCCCCCCCCCCCATTTTTGCACTGAATATTTTTGGGAAAACACTTTAAATATACACATCAGTTAAAGAATGAAAACTAATCTGCAAAGTTCCTCGAAATGATTCGCACACAGTACTTAATGAAAGCACAATCATGTATCCATGAACTGATATTTGAAACATAAATTACATTTGCACTGGTATATCACACACTCCACATAAGCAGCATTAATACGTAGAACAGGCTGTTCAGGAAGCATGCATGGCCAGGGTTGGTTACAGGACATCCCCAATATCCACTCTGCCTGTGCACATGCTGCTGCTGGCTATACCAGGACAAAAGGGCCTGTCAGCACGCCACATTTAGATCCTTCTGGACTTACAGCCCCTTTCCGTATTTGGAGTTACTTACGTCTGTGGAATAAGGATTAGGCAAGGACACAGGCGGGACACTTGCAGGGAAACTACATGAGATCTGGGCCTTTTCGCTTTCAGGGGTATCAGGATGACTGGATGGAGGGGAGGTGGGTGGCAGGGCGCTCAAACCCAAGGCCGTGTTGTATTTGGGAGGACGACCTATATGTTAATAAACACAAACAAACAAAACAAAAAAAAAGAAACAAAATGGGGGGATTTACATACCTTTGGCCAGTGTTCCTCATTGGCTAGCATGGAAAAGGAAATTATGCAGTAGATGAGGAAAACCAGTACAATATTACAGAAGTGAAAAGGAGAGTCATTATTAAGACAGTTTGAAGGAAAATCGGTAGACTGGCAGGAGGAAAGCAGTAAGCAGAAGAAAATGCAGCAGTTGTCAATCACACAGAGAACATGCTAGTAACAGTATATTAAGTCACTTCAGACACTGTATTAAGCACCCAAGACAGACACTTGTGACTGCTGACATATTACAGACATGTTACTATTCAGCTAAAAGATCACCTGATTTAAAAAAGTGTAGGCTTGCAATGTTATATGGGACATCTATAAATGTTAATTGTGCCTAAGCAGTACCCTGGAAATGTACCCTTTCCTCCTGAAAATTAGCAGTGCACTACTTAGTATGTAAGTGTCCCTACAACCTCATAGTTGTATATCTGCAGTGTGAGATCTGAGGCACTGCTGCCTCTGATTGCTAGTCTCAGGAGATTTGGAATGAGATTTGGTGAAGTCTCTACTGTGCTGCTCACTGTTCTTGCTGGAGACTCCGATATGTGGAAGAAAAGGACCTGCCTCTGCCAAGATGGCCGCCCCAACACAGAGACTCCATGAAGAACAAGGAATGGCAAGTCAGTAATGGGGAAAGATCAGCTGTAATATTGAAGGAATTGATATAAGTAAAAGAGCAAGAGGGTGGACAGTCAGACCGGAGTGAACCTTTGTGAGGAGGAGAGGAAGTCTGGTAAATGCACATTGATATGGAGTCAGGTGATAAGCCTATAAACCTCCTAATATTACACCCTTTATGAAGAAGGAGTAGTAGTAGTAGTCACATTGAACTGAACCTGTTCTATAACCGTTGAAGACGTTTCACTACCCATCCGAGCAGCTTACATTCTAATAGGTGTCAGGAACGTAACCCAACATTTATAGCCACACAGGTTCATGGCATCTACTACAGCTAAAGACATGACTTTGATAAATAGAGAAACATCTTCAAAATGACCATACAAGTCCAGCTAATTTTGACTAACTACTACGAGCTATGTCATGACCTAGACAATGGAGAACCTCTACAGACACCCTTTAAGCAGCACGGTGTCTCATGCAATGGAGGTTTACTTGTTAGAACCTTGTTTAGTAGATGAAAACGTGGCAAATTTGTCTGCTGGTCACACTGCATAACCACCCCCCCCCCCCATGTGAGTTCCAGGGTGGGGAACTAGTGAATGAGCCACATAAACATACAGAATAACCAAACTGAAACTAATATAAAAAAGTGGGAATAATATAATTTGTTTTCCTTTGATTGGTGAATATTAACATATACTGGAAGGAATGCATAACAAGAGCTTGTGCAACATCAACCCAGAATACAATCTGTATATCATCAAAGAAATTACTGCAAGGAGGAAATCAGTCATTTACAGAGCTATTCACTAAAGGGTGAAGAGTTTGGGAAATTTCTCCTATTCAGCTCACTTTCCCATTCATCTATGTTTCTTAGATTGTTCACTTCTCCGGCCTTCTCCAAACTCTTCACCCTTTTGTGAAAACCCTGTTGGTGTTCAGAAACAAAATTTCAAATGATGATCCTATGGATTATATGTTAAAATAAGAATGTGGGGGAATAAGAAGCGTGTCTTGAAAATGTTTTAACTTGGTCTTTAACTCCTTCGTGACTGGCGACTTTTGCCGCCGGGAGTCTGTTTAAACTTGTAGAGCCGACTGTCGGCTTTACAACAGAAGTGATCCTGGCGACTTACCTGTCGCCAGATCGCTTCTGCGTCCCGAAGAAGGGGCCCCCCCCCCCGCCGGACACCCCCGCCGTGCTTCCCGGGCTCCGTTGCCCCTCCTACGGGCCCGGGACCGGCGATCTTTGTGTCCGCGGGGAGCTGGGGAGGAGGTCGACGAACTTCCGTTCATCGATCCCCTCCCCGTTCTATGGGACCGGGAGCGATGCAGATTGCATCACTTCCGGTCCCTGGGCTGTCAGTTCTGGGCTCCTGCAGCCCAGCTATAAGCTATTGAAGTGCGATCTGCACTTCAATAGCTTATTTCCAGTGTAAAGGTGACACTGAGGGTCTTTTGGACCCCCAGCATCACCTTAAAGAGGACCTGTCACCACCATCTGCTATTACATGGGGGGGCTTGCAAGCCCCCCCATGTGATAGCAGTCAAAGTAAAGTAAAAAAAAAACAAAAAACAGTTTTTAAAATTAAAATGAAATAAAATAAATCTAATAATAAAAAAAAAAATTTTAAAAGTACCCCGCCCCCGCGAGCCTCCCCGCCCCCGCGAGCACGCGCGTCGGGTGCGCCTACGCATGAAAACGACGAACGCGCTACACATGTTGGGTATCGCCGCGCACGCCGGAGTGAGAGCAATAATTCTAGGGCCAGTATTTTGTTGTATCTCTAAATTGATGACCTGTGGGGGCTTTTAAAGCGTCTTTTATTGACTTTTTGGGGTACTGCAGTTTTTCGCCGTTTCACGGTCGCACGCAATCTGTAAACTGGGCATGTTGGGTATCGTTTTACTCGTTGTAACCTCATCTTTTATATTTCATTAAAAAAATGGGTAATTTGTTGTGTTTTGGGGCATTTAATTAAATTTGTCACTAAATTTTGGGGTTTAATAAGGAGTTGCGCTAATATTGCGCAACATAAAAATTTTCAACTACCACCATTTTATTCTATAGGGTCTTGGCATTCAGAAAATATATAATGTTGGGGGGTTTTACGTCATTTTCAGGCCTAAAATGTGGAATATAACATGGGTGCAAAAAATGAAAAAAGGGCCTCAGTCATGAAGGGGTTAATGTATAATAGAAGAACACTGTTAAGTCTTTTAGTATTGCAAAATGTTTTTAGGTCCTGGCAATATTATATATATCACGAGTTAAAGGGCTAAAAGGTGCTTCATTTCAACCCTTGAATACCATGTACACTATATGGACAAAAGAATATGCACACACCTCCAAATTAAGGCCTCATTCACACCACAAAGAGCCGACTCGTACAGAGTTGTGCGGCGTGCACGGCCGTATAGGGCTGCTCCTGGGAAGGACGGGTGATGCGTGTGATTGTATGCAGCAGCCTGCTCTTCTCTATGGGCGTACGGGGCCTTACGCTCACCCAAAATGCGCATCCCACTCGAATGTCCATGCTCGGAACCAGACAGGATCCATCCTGTCTGCATACGAGTACGGACACCCGCGTACTCCCACGTGCTGTGCACGTTGCGCGGATCTGTACGGGCCGGCTCTTAGTGTGAATGAGGCCTAATGGTTTCAGGGACAGAAAGCCAGGTCTATAAAAAAAGGATTGAGGAGTTTGCTGTGAAGGACATTGACTGGTCATCACAGAGCCCCTACTAAACACCTTTGGGAATAATTGTCAAAGTGTGTTCCATTCTGTGTAACACACTTAATGGGGAACATGTACCTGCTACATTCTATCTCAATCTAAGTTTGAAAACAATGCAGAGGTGCCATAACTACTAAACCTACAGGTTGATTTTTTTATTTTTTTTTACCACAGGAAGCTGTAATTAGACAAAAGGTGTGCTTCACACTAAACTCTCTGATGCCAGCTGTCTCTGTCTCTCCTTACCCACATCATCCTAGCCATAAAAGCAAATGATAGTCAAATCACAGAACTAAAAAAGAACAATACTGACATTTTCAAGTTTAAGTGAAAACATTATTGGCTAACTTTTGGCTTTAGTTCTGTTTTGGGTCACAATGCTGACAATGCAGAACCATGCTGCAGGCGGGAAGCTACAACCCAGCTACCTGACTGCCACTCTAGAGCCAGCTGTGCCTGCCCCTTCCCCCGTCTTTCCCCCCCAATGAGCACTGGAGGAATGGAGAGGGGAGGGGGGAATCCCTGAGGGGAGGAGTGACTGACAGCCACCGCTGTCTGCCGAGAGATCATGAACTGAGCAATAAGTGGTTTGTGATCGCTCAGATCTTGATCTATAGAGCCGATGTGCGACAGCTCTAACTATGGGGGTGAGTGCATTTCACTCTCCCCATAGTTCTCCTTTACGTTAACAGAGTTGCAAGCTTTCAGAACCGATAAGGTTCCTTCCTCAGACACACTACAAACGTGAAAATAGTTCAGAAAACCACATATTTATACACACACAGCTATTTTCATGCTTAAATTGGCCAAGCTGGCAAGTAAAAATTCTATTTCTAATCTCTGCTGTTGAAGCAAATAAATTGGTTCCCTGCAGTTTCTCGTTTACGAAAAAGAAGATTTAGACTATTGCAGGATTGAAACGGGTGATCCAGAAGCATTACAGGTTCAGCGTGGGGTGTGGATACTTGGCTAATAAGAATAAGTGATGAGATAGAGGACAAATAGAAAACAGCAGGTGCAGTGTCTCTCCAGGAAGGAAAAATGGACAAAAAGATTCTGCAAGCTGCTGAGATTTAGCTAGAGAAGCATTTCATCCAACACTAACTGGCAAGTCCTGAAAAGCAAATATGGATAATAAAACGTTTAGGAGAAAGCACCTGCTGTTTTGTTCCTGTGTGGGTGAGCTCACCTACTCGCAGAGAAAAATGCCCTCCCTAAATGCTGCCGACAAACCGAAACTGCAAAACAATGACACGGACACAATGCAAGCAAAACTCTGATGCAACTGCAGGTGCAGTCTGAGAAAGTGGGATATTTAAAATGGTGACAGGTTAAAAAAAAAAAAATGCCATTGACTCCATGTTCACTGACTGTGTTAGACTTATCCAACCATAGCCACTGTCGGGTGCACAGTCCAAAAGTATGAACACATGCACTCAAATCACCTACGCCAGGGCTCAAAATTTCAAGTCCTGAGCTACTAGCCAGGCCTTAAGAGTTAATCGCCACCAGTCGCCCCACCTGACCCCTACTGTGCCCCGCCCTTAACTCCGCCAGGTCAATGGTGTGACACAGAGAACAGAGATCAGTAACAATGCAGAGTGCAGAGGCCAGTGGTGTGATGCAGAGTACAGAGGACAGCAGTGTAAAGCAGAAAAAAGCAATGTATCCTCCATGTCCCAGGTGTCCTGCTTCTCCCGTGCTGTCCTTCCAGCCAGTAGCAGCTCTGCAGTCTTCCTCCCAGCAAAGCGGCGGAAGTCCCCCCCCCCCTGGATTTCCACTCGCCCCCACGCAATTTTCACTCGCCAATTGCGAGGGGGCGAGTGGAAATTTTGAGCCCTGACCTACGCTATATGGCCAAACGTTTGTACACACCAGACGATCCCACCTATATGCGCTTGTTGGACATCCCACTCCAAAGACATGGGCATGAATATGAAGTTGTCCTCTTCCCCCTTTAGACTAAAAGTCTTCTGGGAAGGTTTACCACGAGATTTGGAAGTGTGCCTGTGGGCATTTGTACCCAATCAGTCAAAAGAGCATTCCCATTTCACCCCAAAGGTGTTCAGTAGGGTTGAGTTTGGTGCTCTGTGCATGCCACTCGAGACCCCCACACCAAACTCATCGAACCATATGTTTATGGAGCTGGCTTTGTGCACAGTTATGCTGAAACAAACAAAAAAAAGGCCCTTCACCAAATTATTGCCAGAAGGTTGGAGGAGAAAAGTGTGTACTATTAAATGTCTTTGTATGTCTCAGTGGGAATACCTGAACTTAAGAATTTGGAGACTGTCCACAAACTTTTCAATATATAGTCAGGGGCGTCCTGAGGCCGGGTGTCACCCGGAGCAGAGATTGGGTGACACCCCGCCGTGATGTCATCGCGCATGTGCGCCCATCTAATTGACACTCCCTGGGACGTACACCCGGCGGGATGAGGTATGCCACCGGGTCCCCTCCTCTTTCCTGACACTGTCGGGCTCTCGGTTCATGACCGAGTGCCCGACTTTTTAGAGAGGGTGACACATCACTCCTTCAAAAGGTGTCACCCGGGTGCAGGCCGCACCCCCCTTGTGAGCCACTGTATATAGTGTAAGTGTATATATATATCTATTGAAGAAGGAAGTGGAAAAAAAACCCAGCAATAATAAGTGATGGTTACAAGAAAGTAAGCCAGGAGGTATTTATGGATACCTAAAAGGTATCATAGTCATCATCTAATCTGGCCTATATGGGTTGGAGTGGTTTACAAGTTTTATCTCGGAGTACTTGAATAGTGTATCTGCATGGTGGAAGACTGAGGTAATGTATTAGACAGACTTATAAAACTAGTGTCTAGTTCCTAGATTATGTATTGTATTCTCTGAAATATCTGGAGATTGGAGAGCATGACTCCTTTACTCTATGTGCACATCAGATGTACTTTAACACATGCCTATCTTGATAAATATATACTGTATATATATATCGACAAATACTGTAACTTGCTTCCCTGCACAAAACCTATGCAGTTTAATACAGTATTAATAACAAACCCATGGTCCCTTGTGTATACACACACCCATGGGTCTACATGACCACACTTCTGTACATGGGAATCAGTAACACTGGTTGTTAGGCACTGATCAATATTAGAGGAAAGTCATAACGATACAGGATGGTGGTTAGTAAATAATGCATTGCACGGTCATACAAATCCACACTGTGCCTTCTCTCTAGCCCCAAGGACAAAGAAGTAATGAAATCCTAGGTAAATTTATCAACACTGGCCCAGGGGAGAGGAGTAACTGAAGGTTACTGAAAAGAAGAAGGTGGTACAGTGTGGAATTTGCATGAAAAGTTTAAATCTACTATCAGATAGTATTTTTTTTGCAAACTTCTCCCTCTAGTGATCAAAAATAGTGTTGCTCTTTTAATATAATATTGCTGACCAAGGATCATATTTATTCAAATGTAAGTGCATCTATAGCAAGTTTTGGATAGAAAGGGGAAATGCCTTTGTCAGGTTTTGCTACAATCCAGGACACTGTTAAAGATATTCCCCCTCACTTCCCCCACTGTTCTGGGGACCAAATTTTGCCGGACACAACGTGTGGGAAAATCTACAACAGGGAAACGGACAATAAAAAAACAAAAAACACAAAAAAGCAAGAACACACCACAAATGACAGAGGTTATAGAATTTGAATAATAATAATAATAAAAAATCCTGGAACATCCCCATGTCCATACATCTGGGATCTGTGTTGACATGGCTATGTATTAGAAAAGGAAAATTATGGTAAGTATTTGATAGAAATTTTCCCCATTACTTCTGTCTATTTTGCTATTAGAAAGATTTCCCTCACTTCCTGTCCTGGAGACAACCTTTTACTAGTCAGGAAGTTATGGAATATGTTTAACAGAGCCTCCGACAGCAATAAAACCTGACAGGCGTTCCATTACTGCACCCTATCCAAAAAAAAACCCTGCTTGCTACAAATACACTTGAAATCTTTGTGCTGGCTGCACATTCATTATATTTATAAAAACAGGAAATGTGTTCTCTGTAAATGGGTCAAGAAAATAATTTGCTTTTAGGTGTTATGTCACTGAATGTGCCAGCCGGAGCTGTCCATACTGCTGAAACGGGTTTTTTTTTCCCCTCCAACACTTGGAGCGTAAACTTGATATTTTATTCTTTGTTTAAGCCCTCGTTCACACCTGAACGTTTTGTAGCGCGTTCTACGCTTGACGAACGCTCTACAAAACGCTCAAAAATATAAATCCCATTGTATTCAATGGTCTCGTTCCCACCTTGGCGTATTTCCGCCCGTCCCTAACGCGCTACAAAACGGTCCACGCCTGAAAAGGTACAGGTACTACTTTGGGCCTTTTTGTTGCGAGTTTCCATTGGGATACAGCCAAGTAGCCTTCGGAAACGCGCAACTTTTTTGTGGTAAAAAAACGCGCGACAGACGCGCATATGCAATACGCCTAGGTGTGAACGAGACCTAAAAGAAGATCTTCTCCACAACCTCTTTTCAACAACACAATCCTGGCACCCCAGGTATGTTGACCAGTAAATCTATGGCGTTGAGCTAAATGCACCCAAGCCATGACAACTCCAGCTGGCGAATTCTTTAGAATTAGTAAAGTCCTCTGGCTAGGGTCTCCAAAAATGTGGTACCACTCCCCAGTGCCCAGGGTACAGTCCTGTTATGCAGCCCCCAATGCCAACAGTATGGGAAGCAGGTACACTGGCAGGCCCCCCTCCCTTGTAGGCAGCTAAAGGGCAACCTCCAACGATGTGATAGTTCGGAGTGTGGAGGTATGAGAGCATTAGATGAGACTCCCGCTGTGTAGAAGGCGCCTTACTTTGCCTTTAAGTAACTTCCCCATTCCTGTTCATGGCCTCAAACTGTGCCCCCCCCCCCCCAGAGGGATCACAGAAATTCTAAGTATGAGGCACATATTCATGCTTCCCCTGCACCCAAACAGCGGCCAAATATTGAATATAATCGATGGAGGGTAATTGCAAAGGATCTTTACCATTCTAGCAAAGCAGATCATGGCGGAAGGCAGAAGCGGGTAAAACAAGTGGGATTGTGTAGTTTAGGCCACATTTTATAATAGAAAAATAAAACACACTTGATAAAAGTACTTCTGCCCCAAGCTCGAATCTCATTGGCTGGGATCTCAAATGTGGAAGAGCAACAGTTTTAAAAGTTAAACTCCGGGATTAAAGTTAAAATACCCGTGCGGGGGGACAAGTATGGTGCAGGACGGGACAGTAGTAAATGTTAGCACTGTTGTTGGATTCATACTGCTCTTGATTTGATAAATTCCTTCTGCCATGGCAGGCATCATTTCACCTTTGAACAGGGTAAAAATGTGTTCTAACAAGTATATGGCTTCCTCTCCTCATCATCCAGATGTCATTCCATTGTCTCTCTGATTAAATACATTCTATGAATAAGTGTATAAAAGTATTCTATTCTAAAACTTTCTTTGGGGTCTGATTGACGTCAACATATATCTATGAAAAACCCTTATACCAGTGTGATCAGCCTTAGCTAGAAGAAGACATGCTGATTTCTAAGCTACATACAGCTATTCTGCTACTTCAATACCCTATAACTAGTATGCTGGCTAGGATTCCATAGATCATCATCTTCCCTCCGGTGATTCTCACATATGTATTTCACTTCATGATGGATTGCCTTTCAGCACACTGTAAGTAGGAATGTTAGTAACACAAGACCAGCACAATCACACACGTTCAGTCAGGTCCCATTGCTGCTGCAGAAAGTACAAATAACACAATGGTGGAACAAAGCAACAGAAAAAGAGCAAGAGAAGGGTGAAGCGGATAGCACAGAGGTGTGCAGGATACCTCTCTTCCTCGTTCCTGGATGCACTGTGCTGTTCAAGTACGTCACCGCACTCTTCTTGCGCTGCAAAAACATCAATTCAAAATCAACAAAAATAATATATAATTCCTACAGACGATGAGCTTTTGGTAATTAAAACAACCTCTTATGTCTGAATCGGGCTCATAGAACAGACACCTGAAATAACTTGTCAGTGCATTTCCTGGTTCAAAGTGACCTTGTCAGTATGTTTAATAATAAGAAGATAATACAGAGAGAATCAGTGCCACTTTCTTCCAACAGTGCAATGTTAAGAGTCCTCCTTGCCCACTGAGTCTCTGGCACTGTTCAGTAATAGGGACGGGAGTTGAAATTGGCAAAGTTAGAAGTCCTTTTAAAGAATAACTCTAGGGAAAACTAAGTGTTTAAAATGTTCTGGCTTAGGTGTCAAGTCAGGTGCAAGAAGGTGTATGCCAGCTCCCAGATTTTTCCTTTGTCTACAATTTACAGTTTTACGGAGTGCAGATAGTATGGCTATGAAAGAATATGGACACCGGCACTCCGACAGCAGATAGAATACGTCTATTTATTGACGTACATGTAATTTAAAAAAGCAGCATAACACACTTAGTGCGACGTTTCGGGGCCACGTAGGATCCACTCCATCAGGCAGAACAAGTGAAAACCTGTTGGAGTGCCGGTGTCCATATTCTTTCCCATCACCGAGACGGTGACCATCCGTCTACTACCGTTGCACCCATTTTTCTCATGAATGAGCGGTCAGGAGTGTAATGGGTACATGGACTGTAACTAGATAGTTTGGCTATCGCAATACTTCTAGTGCTGACACACTACACAACAGCCATCGCATTGTTTGCCCCCCTCCTCTCCTCCTACTCAATCATAGAACACTTTGTATTCTGTGAAACTAAGATTTAGTGCCTTCATGACGTGGATCCTTCCTATTGCCTGTCCAACAGCAGGGTACTCTCAGCATCCAAAAGAGCAGTGACGTCAGCACAAGGGGACTGTTGGGGACCAACTGGCGCAAGCACATCTGCAGCGCTGAATTAGCCCCCACACCCAGGAAACAGTGACGAACCCATCCGGCAGACTAGGTATGTGAATAACTTGCTCCACAAAGAAAGGAAAATATGCAGGATGGGTTAGAGGGGGTGTGGGGTTAATGATTTGCCTGGCAGTGGGCTGTAAAGCTGGTACCCAGACTTGCTTGTCCCACACACCTTTGTATCCCTCCTAAAACATGACCAGGAGCCTCTCTCATGGCACTCAATATGCAAACATAGACGTTCATGCTCAAAGTCAGAGCTTTGCCCAACCTTCTGCACTACATGCTTTACTCTTACAGAACTCCATGGACCCCACTGAAAAAGAATCTCCAAAGCCTGTGTTGGAGGCTGCCAAAAAGTGACTGAGCACACCAAGAATCAGGGATCCTAATGCATTCAGCTCAATAAATTAAACATGAGCAGGCAGGCACCCTCTATTAAAGTAAACCTGTCATAAAACTTGACAATTCAAACAATGCATACCATAAGCAAATGAATAACCAATGTTACATTCAGCGCTTGGAAGGTGGGAGGGCCAAGCTCAAATTTACCTATTTCACACTTACTGTCACCTAACACATTGAAAATATCTTTAGATGTGTTAGAATGTAATCAGATGCATCAAATAGTTACATTTACTGCCATCAAATTTACACATCAACCCACATTCCTTCTTTAATTGTTGATGAAAACTGAGGAGGAGCTGCAAGTTGGGGGGGAAAAAAAACTACTATACAACTTGGCACAGACTCCGAATTATCCATTTTCACCAATGATGGATATACTGCACAATGTATGTTCTCTAGACGTGTGACAAAGGATGAATCACATTCACACAACAGGAAAACACCCACCTCTGGTTCAAATACTGCCCCACTGTACACTGGGTTGGCGGTTGTTCTTCTTTTCCTTTCTTGTCTTTTACTTTGAATTTCTGACAGTCAGGGAAAAGGGAAAAAATATTCAACACCACAAGTCATAATGTTGTGCAGTGATTACCATAATATTACCAAAAACAAAATAATCATTGAAATGCTGAATGTCAAATCACTTTGTGATTTCTTGTGTTGCTCAAGCAGTTCGGTGGTAAGTAGTCTGCGCATCGGTTTTCAGGTCTGCACACACACAGCAGTACTTGAGTGAAGGCCCAAGTCTCCCTGTCCACTGGTACCCCAAGGTGGGTGAAAACAGAGCCAGGGTAAGGCATGGAGCTTTCACTGCTGAAGAAACGTACAAAGCCCACATGCCTCAGTCCAACAAACTATAACTGAACTAACCCTTTATCGTTAAAGGAGAACAGTGGTTCTCAACCTGCCTAACCTCAGGACCCACATTAGTCCTTGGCCATTAACTCGCGAACCCAATTGCACCGCATTGGAATGCACAGCACTGAGCATTCCGGTGCGGGCGATTGAACTGTTGGAGGGAGGCGAGTTTGGGGTTCCATTCAAATGAATAGGCAACGCAACGCACCTCTCACTCCAGAAGGCGTGGTAGATGTGATTGTGTGGCAGTGTGTTAATCACACGGGACTGTGCGATTAACATGCAGTACTAGTGTGAACGGGCCCTCAAAAACACTGACAGAACACACAACCACAGACACAATCTCACACACATACACACTCCCAAAAAAATGTTTTACCTGTCATAAAACTTGACAATTCAAACAATGCATACCATAAGCAAATGAATAACCAATGTTACATTCAGCGCTTGGAAGGTGGGAGGGCCAAGCTCAAATTTACCTATTTCACACTTACTGTCACCTAACACATTGAAAATATCTTTAGATGTGTTAGAATGTAATCAGATGCATCAAATAGTTACATTTACTGCCATCAAATTTACACATCAACCCACATTCCTTCTTTAATTGTTGATGAAAACTGAGGAGGAGCTGCAAGTTGGGGGGGAAAAAAAACTACTATACAACTTGGCACAGACTCCGAATTATCCATTTTCACCAATGATGGATATACTGCACAATGTATGTTCTCTAGACGTGTGACAAAGGATGAATCACATTCACACAACAGGAAAACACCCACCTCTGGTTCAAATACTGCCCCACTGTACACTGGGTTGGCGGTTGTTCTTCTTTTCCTTTCTTGTCTTTTACTTTGAATTTCTGACAGTCAGGGAAAAGGGAAAAAATATTCAACACCACAAGTCATAATGTTGTGCAGTGATTACCATAATATTACCAAAAACAAAATAATCATTGAAATGCTGAATGTCAAATCACTTTGTGATTTCTTGTGTTGCTCAAGCAGTTCGGTGGTGAGTAGTCTGCGCATCGGTTTTCAGGTCTGCACACACACAGCAGTACTTGAGTGAAGGCCCAAGTCTCCCTGTCCACTGGTACCCCAAGGTGGGTGAAAACAGAGCCAGGGTAAGGCATGGAGCTTTCACTGCTGAAGAAACGTACAAAGCCCACATGCCTCAGTCCAACAAACTATAACTGAACTAACCCTTTATCGTTAAAGGAGAACAGTGGTTCTCAACCTGCCTAACCTCAGGACCCACATTAGTCCTTGGCCATTAACTCGCGAACCCAATTGCACCGCATTGGAATGCACAGCACTGAGCATTCCGGTGCGGGCGATTGAACTGTTGGAGGGAGGCGAGTTTGGGGTTCCATTCAAATGAATAGGCAACGCAACGCACCTCTCACTCCAGAAGGCGTGGTAGATGTGATTGTGTGGCAGTGTGTTAATCACACGGGACTGTGCGATTAACATGCAGTACTAGTGTGAACGGGCCCTCAAAAACACTGACAGAACACACAACCACAGACACAATCTCACACACATACACACTCCCAAAAAAATGTTTTTTTAAGATCCACCCAGTCTCCCTGGAGTGGATCCTCAGCCAGAGGTCCAGTCTGCTGTGCTGTGCCGGAGCTCCATCCATATGTGCATTGCTTGTGCAGTTCCCTAGCATGCCCTGTAGATTTGCGGCGAGAAAAAATTTGACATCACTCCGGTCCAGGCACCTCTACAGGGCATGCGAGGGAGCTGTAAACACTGCACGTATGGATGGAGCTCCCTCGCAGTCATAACCCCAGCCCACCCTACGCCAAAGCTTACACTCTGTGCCGGGCGGCATATTTTGAATGGCTGCAATTAGAGCATATAGAGGTATAGTTATAAAGCAGTGCATAAAGACATTAACCAAACATCCCTGGTGCATGGGTTTTGCATGACAGCGGCGATAGAGTCACCAGTAACGTTTGGTGAATGTCACATTCACTGCTTCATAAAGATGCCCATAGGGTGCACAAGATGGATTATAACGAAGACTGACCCTCCCAGTCTGAAATCTATCTGGAAGAGACACGGTGAAACCAACAATTTCTTCAGAAACAGAAAAAGGTATAAATCTGCAACAATGTTTGCTGAAATCCTTGCAGTGTACATAAACAACAAAAGTGTAGATACATTTTAAATACTGCTGGACATTTCAGTTTTGTCAAAACATATGGCTTTGCTATCGCAGGCCGAGGCTGCTGCACTAAAGCACTGCTAAAGTATACAAGGACTGCCTTAGAAAAATGAATTCATGTCTGTATTTTGCAAAAACCTCATGTAATAAAAAAAAAGCAACTTTTCATACAAAAGGGTAGAAGTTAGTATATGGTATACTACTACTTGCTGGACTTACCCTCTAAGTGGTCATGTGTAAGCAAACCTAGTGCCATCATGAAGGCGAGTTTCTACGAAAAGGAGAAAAGAGAATACATTTCACATCGAGTTGGATGCAGGGTGCAGATCCTGTGCCTAGATACTTTCATTGTGACCCTACCTGTGGGTTCTCCTCTCGTTTTGGCTTGGAGGCAGGTGGCACTGTCGTACTGCTTTCAGTTGGCTTCTCTGGTTCCACCTGAGTTTTAGTCGTCTGGAAAAAAAACAAAGACATCAGCGTCTGATAGAACACACAGGGGTCTATTTAAAATAAATGGAGCAAAGGAATACAGAGTACAACTGGGACGGTCACTCACAGCTGCCAGTTAGCATCCTTCCTTCATTTAAAATGAAATCCTGTATATTCTAGTGACAACTACCTGACTTTTACTCCGTAATCCTGGCTGTAACTTCACACAGATGTCTCAAGTAAAAGGTAAAGGTAAAGAATGGAGAGCTATGTTTTACATGTATGAAGTTTATTACTATAGATTTGGTTAGCATGTCTACAGCAATAACTGCACTATCTAGCGCTTGGAGAATGGCTGCTATAGGCCGATAGTACAGGCATTAGAATGAATGCGCACACTAGAGATGCGCCACACATATTGGGTTATTGTTTTCGTATGCAAGCACACCAGCGTATGTTTGCATTTATATCTGTGTGTACATAGTGGCAGAAGGGCTTTTCATTTTTTATTAGTGTTTATTTGATTACATTTTATCTTTTTAAAACTTTTTTTTCTAACCTTAAGCGCTATGACAATGGAACTGAAAAGGGGACAGAAACTAAGGAAAAACAGTGTTACCACACGGAAGTGATCAGACGGCTTTAACGCCACTCAAATCACTTCCAGTAGAAAGCAGACAGTGGGCCGAGGGAATGTAAATAAACTTTTGTTTGTACAAGACCGCACTGCTGCGGATGTATGACATACATTGATATCAGCAAAAAGGATTAGAAGAGAACTATGGCCTAACCTTTTTTGGCCATAGTTGTATTCAGGGTCACAGGAGGACATATACTAATGTCCTCCGCTGACCCAAAACTCTGTTTATAGCAGATGCTGACAGCACAGAGCCACGCCGCAGCCAGGACAGATCCCGACAATACTGTTGAGATTTACCCCGCTGGCTGATTGACAGCTGGCTCTGCCTCTCTTGGAGGCAGCAGAGCCAGCTGTGCTCGCCCCCTCCCCATCCGTTCCTCCAGTCAGCGCTGGAGAAACAGAGAAGGGGGGAAGAGAATGCCTGCAGGGAGAGGATCAGGAAGTCAGTGACAGGCGGTATGTGTTTGCCGACTTCCCCATCAATAGAGCCGACCTGTGACAGCTTCAGTGTCACAGGTCGGCTTGAATTATTGGGATGAATGTTTTTCACTCACCCCATAATTCTTCTTTAAGGCCACAGTCAAATTTTGACTTTAATGTGGAATTACAGGCTGTTGTGCTGACAAACACTAGATTCCTGTTGCTAAATGTCGCTGCTGACTGCTACTTCCTTCTAGCGTTGTCCATCCTGATGACACATGCACGCCAGAGGACACATTCATGTCGGACGCCTAGCACCAACAGTGCATGTGTAAACAACTTCTTCCCTCCTCCTAGCCTCTCTATGATTTCCGGCACTGATGCAGGACCCAATAACCTACCAGCCCAACAGCAATTAAGCAGAATTGTGGTCATGTGACTGCGGGGAACACTTTAAAAAAAATCATGTCACAATTTGAAGCATTGCAACAAGCTTACACATTCATGTGAATGCCAACAGACTGATGTTCTTAGGCTTTACAGCTAAAGTATAACAAAGGCTATTTTTTCCCCTATGCACCATTGAAGAGATCTCTCTTCACTTTCAGTCACAAGACAGTTGTCACTAGAGCAGATGTCTCCATTAGGACATTCTTTCTGATGCTCTGATCAATTTGTCACTGTAAAAGTTTGGATTACGGTTCACTTTTTGTCATGGCAACAATGGTCCCCAGAACAAATAGATTCTGAATCTCTCCAGGGGTTCAGCCAACGATAAACCAAGGGTTCTAACCATAGCCCTTCCGTAAAAAAAATGGTTTTAGACACTGTAAAAGAATAAGGTCCAAAACTCTTGAGGAAATTATGGACTCTGTCACACCTCTAAAACTTTCTGTCAGGTTATTAGTTCTGTCTGGGATCAGATTGGAGAGATTTTTTTTCTTACTTCCAGTCCCTGTGACACCCATACAAAAAATGGGGGACGTGATTGTCAATAGCACAGGAAGGCAAAGAGAGTAATAAAGTAAAAATATTATTAATAACATGTATTTTTGTCTGTTCCTCAGTTGGGGCAACATGTAAGACGTTTTGGTGGCATCTGGACACAAATTTCTTCTGAATAAACAGATGACGTTGGACTTTTACCTGCTTCTCCACACTTGGTTTCGGAAGTTGCAGAGTCTGTGGAGCTGCCAGTCTTGTGCCTGGTGCTGCTATGACGATACTAGTGAGCTGTGCTGCGGGGAAGGCTTTGGAAATGGCTGTGGGTTGCCCATTTACAATGCGCACAGGATGGATGGAATTCTGGGAACCTGGGGTTAACTTTGTGGTTAGCATGACTGGCCGCTGGATGAGCTGTGGGGCTGCGAGCATGGGGGGAGGAGCGGGGGCAATGGGAATGTTGTTTTGTGCCGCTGGCTTTGGCCGCACCTGTAATAAAACACATTCAAATAAAGTGGACAAAAGGCATTAGTCTTTATCAGTTTGGTAAGCCACATAGGTTTCTAAATATTTTCAATGCCACTGAACTGTCTAGGTAATATTAGGTAATATTATGAACCCAATTATACAGGGGGTGAAAAAGACAAAACGATGGATATTAAAACACTTCTTTTTTTTTAACCGCCTCCGGCCGGCTGTTGTGCGGATACGGCTGGCCAGGAGCTTCCTAGATCTGAGAGGGCGTATTTAAACGTCCCTTCAGCCACTGCCACTCGCGGGAATCTGCCCAAAATTAAAAACAAGCAGCGATGCCCGTTTACATACAAGTGATCCGCCAGCTTTAGAGCCGGCGGATGGCTTGTATAAGGTGCCAATCCCCCACCCCCTCCGGCGGGTTCCCGGGCTCCGCTGTGCTCGGTGCGAGCCTGGGACCAGCATAGTGGCTCTGTGACGGGATCAGAAGGAGGTCGGTACACGATCTCCCTCCAGTCCCCTCTTCAGTGTCAGAATGCGGAAGTGATGTATATTACATCACTTCCGCATTCTTGTGTCACTCTCCGGCTTCAGACCCTGGAGAAAAGCTGATGAAGCAGATCTCTGCTTTATCAGCTTCTTTGGGGCTCCCTAGGTGACATATCGCTGCAAACGTCGCAGTGAGAGCAATAATTTTAGGACCATCAATTATTGATAACACTAAACTGATGAGCGGTAAAAGCTTTTAAAGCGTCGCCTATGGTCAATTTTGGGTATGGTAGTTTTTTGCTATTTCACGGGTGCACGCAATTTTAAAGCTTCACATGTTTGGTGTCTATTTACCAGACGTGACCCCGACTTTTATATTTTACCAAAAGATTTGGTAATAATAATAAATGTATTATAACAATGTAGAAAAAAAACTTTTTTTTCATACTTTTCAGTAAATTTCCCCTTAATATAGTAAACAAAAACAAAAACAAAAACCCTGCAGTGGTGATTAAATACCACCAAAAGAAAGCTCTATCTGTCCCCAAAAAATTGTATAAAATTCATTTCAGTACAGCGTTGCATGACGGAATAAATGTCAAAGTACCGCAGCGCTGAATACTGAAAAATGGCCTGGCCAGGAAATGGGTGTAAACACCGCGGTCTTCAACTGGTTAACGGAAAACCACTGTTTCACCTACATAAAGATTTGCAATTCTTTTAGGACAGTCTTGCAATTTACACAAAAGAGCCACCACATTTTTTTTATTGTGCCTTTCTATGGCACCTGCAGACAACGAGTAGGCAGTTCTGAGATGCCAATTCATACTCCGATAAGCAGGTGACATGAGAGAAAGCTGCAAACCTGAAATGGTGATCACAGGAGTCATTCTTAACACACACCTACTTGGTTGCAGAGCATGCATTTACATCAGGGGTAGCAAACCTCCGGCCCTCCAGCTGTGGTTCAACTACAAATCCCACGAGGCATTGCAAGATTGTCATGGCCACCGACATGACTCCCGAAGAGAGATGCATCATGGGATTTGTAGTTTCACCACAGCTGGAGGGCCAGAGGTTTGCTACCCCTGATTTATATATTAGGTAGAACTTAACATGTATACTCACTTGTGGAAGAAATGTCGGACGGGGAGTTAGCCGGGGAGGAGGGATGAACTGGGGAACTTTGATGTGCTGAGAAGTCGTTGCCTGGACCTGCTGCAAAAAAACAAACCGTGGAGTAATTGTAGACTGAATCATATCACAAACAAAATGGACTCCTAATCACCAACCTAAAAGAACAAAACACAGACTTCTCACTCACCAAAGTAACAGCGTTTTTTGCCACTATCTGGAAAGTCTCTGTTCCCTGATTGGCGATTCTGCTAGTTGTCTGCAGGTTGACTGCAGTGCTTTGGGCATCTGAGCCGATAACTGCTTTCTGGCTGTTGATGGCAGTCACCATGGCGATGGTTGGCCGCTGCCCCATCATTGAAGCGGGCATAGATGCTGCTGCAGCTTTCAGTACAAGAGGTAGAGTCTTTGCCGTGATCATAGAGGCTGTGGTCACAGTTTTCTGATGAGAAGAAAAAAAAAAAACTTTCATTACATCTGGCATGCCAAAAAGCCAAAACATGCAGATGGTTTAGAAAGTTAAAGAAATGTACAACAGAACTCCGCTAAACTTGAATTAAAAAAAGGTAGAGGCCTTGTTCACACTAGTAGCCGCGCTCAACTACAAGGCTGCTGGTGTGCGTGCGCCCATACAGTGAGCCACATCGCACTGTTTTGTTTTTTTTAGAACTTTATTGAAATGTAACAATTGACAGTTCATAAAGTTCTATGGGCACTCCGCAGTGCAATGCAGTTGCACTGCGGAGTGTTGTGAGAAAAAAAGCCAGCACAGCCCGCACGCACGCATCTGGTGTGAATGGGGCCTGAATGTTCTTGTATCCATTTCTAACTGTGGACAGGAGACATACTCTTACTGAAAGTAACACATAACTTTCCAGCAGGTAGGAGCATGCCTCTAATCCACACTTTGAATTGATACAATCTGGAATTAAAATGAATTCTGAACGACACTAAACATGCCAAAAATTATTAAATGAATTAACATCCGCATTTGTTTTCTGTAAATCATTTGGAAAACTAGTTCTATGCAATCAATTGCCTTTAGAAGTCAAATAACACATTTAATAAAGTCCACTTTGTGTAGTTAAAATGACACTAAACTACAGTGACCCTAACTGTAGTTAAATTGTAAAATTGTATTTAAAATACCTTAACTACAAACAAAAATGTATCTTATTTGTGTATCACTCAGCTGTAGATCCTCAAAATTGGTCCCTGTGTGTGTTGTAAAGTAGTCACCGCTCCAAGCTCGCTCCCATGATGGACTACAATCTAAATACAAACTATTAAACTAAATGTGAGATTGTAGTCCATCACGGGAATGAGCGACCAAAAAAGTCTAAGCTGATAACATGAATAAAGAGCAGACACATCATTTCGGAAGTGCTGAAATCCTGCCCTCTACCCCTGAATCATGGGGGCAAGCTTCAACACTACCAACAAGTGTCGAAGTTTGGAGTTTAGTGACCCATGATTCGGGCTAATAGAAAGGACTTTGTAGTCTCTATAAGAAGTGCATGTGACAGGGAGATAACTCAAGACAGCAACTGGGAGACAGGGAGCACTGTCACCCAAGAACATTCATGGCAGGATCACCAAGGATAATTTTTATGAAAGCTGCAGATTTTAAAAGATTGAAGATGACTTCTGAAATGACATTATCATCTTAGCACTGATATGAGATTTTAAATCGGGTTTAAGTCTACCTTAACTTTTTTGTCACATTAAAAATATTCTACACATAGTTATAGTGTGTAAACCAATTGTAAAAATCCCAGTAAGGCCTTGTTCACACTAAGCACGTTCCAGGAGCAGAACAGTTACAGACCGGATCAAAACTGCGTCCAATGTATTCCAATGGTATTTTGTGCTCTAGTTCAAACCGCAGCGTTCAGTTCCAGAGCATGTAAAAAAACTGCAGCAAGCCCTATTTTTCCTGCTCTGGAACGCATCCAAACGCCCTGGAATGCACTGAAAGCCCATTTTAAACAAAAAAAAAAATTACTTTTTTTTAACCAAAAACGGCCCAGAACGCATCAAAAACGCGGCAAAAACCACTGCACTGCGTTTGCAGAAACTCATGCAGATCTGGTCTGCATTTGGTGTGAACAAGTCCTTAGATCTATTTGTAATGTCAGTTTACAACACTACAAAATCGGGAAAAGTAAAAAGAGATTGTACCCCTATGCTAGCCACTGTACTAATATTATTTTGGAAAAACACACAGAGGGGGAATTTATCAAAACTGGAGCAGACTAAGGCTGCAACAACTAATCGACTAAATCGATTATAATCGATTATTGAAAAAGTTGTCAATGTTTTCAATAATCGATTAATCGTCTTCCGAGTAGTTGGCCCTGTTCACGGCTCCACACACGCTGCACGCCGCACCTCCTCCCCACCTCACGCTGCTGCCAGACCCGCCTGCCCGCATCCACGCTCCACACCTCCTCCCCGTCTCACGCTCACCTCCTGCCCACATCCACGATCGGCACAGGGAGACGGGGAGAAGATGTAAGGAGGAGCAGATGTGGGGGGATGACAGCCGCCCATAGACAGGCCTGATCTCAGAAGCAAGTTGCTGGAAGACTGCTCAGGTAAGCCTGCACTTTCCCCCACATGGTGCTCTACAATGTATTGCTGGTATTTGTATTCTTCTATAGCTGATGGTACATTGTGCTGTATATTATACCATCAGCTATAGAGGACTACAAATCCCAGCAAGAATACATTATACAGCGCAATGCGGACTACCACCAGCTATAGAGGAGTACATTATCAGCAATAGTACATTATACAGCGCAGTGCAGAATACCGCCAGCTATAATGTACTATTGCTGGGTTTTGTAGTCCTCTATAGCTGATGGTACATTGTGCTGTATATTATACCATCAGCTATAGAGGACTACAAATCCCAGCAAGAATACATTATACAGCGCAATGCGGACTACCACCAGCTATAGAGGAGTACATTATCAGCAATAGTACATTATACAGCGCAATGCGGACTACCACCAGCTATAGAGGAGTACATTATCAGCAATAGTACATTATACAGCGCAATGCGGAATACCACCAGCTATAGAGGAGTACATTATCAGCAATAGTACATTATACAGTGGTGCAATGCCGAATACCACAAGCTATAGAGGACTACAAAACCCAGCAATAGTACATTATACAGCGCAATGCAGAATACCGCCAGCTATAATGTACTATTGCTGGGATTTGTTGTATTCCTCTATAGCTGGTGGTATTCTGCATTGTGCTGTATAATGTACTATTGCTGGGTTTTGTAGTCCTCTATAGCCGGTGCCATTCTGCATTCATTGCTGTATAATTTTACACTTTTCATTTCACTATATTGTACACCACACTTTTTTTTTCTTTTTTACTTCCACCGCTCCAAGCTTGCTGCTGTGATGGACTACAACCTCAATACAAACTAGTAGTCCCATCACTGGAGCCATTTTTTAAACTTTATTTTATTGTTTATCCGATTAACCGATTAATCGAACTTAATAATCGGCTAACTAATCGATTTTGAAAATAATCGTTAGCTGCAGCTCTAGAGCAGACGGAATCTGGAGCAGTTGCCCAAACCAATCAATAAATTTTGATCATTTTCAAAGCTTAACTGAACAAGCTGAAGAACGAAGCAGATTACCATGGGCTACTGCTCCAGATTCTCTCTGCTCCAGTTTTGATAAATTCCCCCCAATTAATCTGATTGGCTGCTACAGTATATGCAAAATTATTTTTCATAATGCCCGGCATGCTGTAAATTATTTATGGATTATTTTTTGAGAAATTATATGCT